AATATGCAAGCAGAAAAGACATTAAACACTTATATTAAAGCAAACACATAACATAAGTTAACAACAAACAACATTATATATAAATACTGCTTGAAAACACTCAAAAATCGTAAAGGAATAATATTCGTATAGAAATTTAAGCATAACAAACGAAATCATTATGAAACAAAATATACATAGAGACACACAATAACTACAGCCGATAGCGTCACAGTTTGAAAAAAAGAGAAAAGAAAAAATCACATATACATGTTATTTACAAGAATGATTTATCTCACCAACCAAATCATAACACCTTTTTTTTGTTTTTATTTTTTTATCTTTTTTATATAGTCACTGATATTCCTCTCCCCAAATCCCTTGTTCGTTGTTGTCACGGGGCGGGGAGGGGGGGGGAGGGTATAGAAGACATAGGGGACATAGGCCCTATTTTGGCCCTCGCCTCCTCGTCTCCTTTTGCATTTTCTCTTCTTCTCTCTCTTTCTTTCCTTTTACTCCTCTTCTTAATCTCCTTCTTCTGTCCACGTATCCTAATCGTTAAACTCAATTTTACCCGTTTTGCCACAATACTTCATCACACTACTATATGTGACCTTTGATGTTTTAACCATTACCGAATTTATTTTACACCTTTTTGACTCTTGCGCTATATAATCACAGTTTAGAGCGCAAAGGTCATTATCAAGTACACAAATACGATTGGAAATTCAATTAATACAATTAATACAAAATAATTATACTGGATGAACAAGATTATGAAATAGAAGATAATATCAAAAGTTGAGGCGAAAATGATCACACTCCATTAATCAAATATACACTGGAGAATATTTTAATAGTAGGAGCTATGGGCAATGAACTATGGAACGAAGAAACAAGGTAAACAAACAAACAAACATGGAACTGACGTGTGAAGATATATGTAAAGAAATGGAAGTGATAAAGTTAATAACGAGAATGATAATGATGTAAATAATGATCACAATAATAATGATAATAATGATAATAATCTTGATAATAAGATAACAATAAAAATGATAATAATCTTGATAATAAAATAACAATAATAATGATAATGATGATAATAATGATAGTGAATGCAGTCATGATCATAATTATAAAAACAATTATGATTATGATAATGATAATACTAATGAGGAAAATAACATAATAATAGCAATAGCAAAAACAAAATTAATGATAAAAGTAATGATAACAATAATGATAATGATACTACAACTACTACTAAGAATAGAAACATCATAACAATAATGATAATAATGAGAATAATAATAATAATGTTAGAAATGATAATGATGACTGTATGCAAACACACACACACACACACACACACATATCTGTGTTTATAGATAGATATATCGATAGATAGATAAATTGATTTCCTCAGTTCCCGGTAAAGGCATTTTCTATGAAAGTGAAATCTTTTAGTGGCTAACTTAGCTAAACGGTTTTGGTGCAATAACAGTTCTGACACTGTAGCTACAACATATACTTGAAACTCTCCATTTTATATATTTTTGACTTCGATTGACGCTACTTCAGTGCACACACACACACACACACACACACAAACACACGCGCGCGCGCACTCACGCACACGCACACGCACACGCACACACACACGTACACACACACGCACACATACACACACACACACACACACACACATATATATATATATATATATATATATATATATATATATATATATATATATATATATATATATATATATATATATAGTGCGTGTGTGCTTATATCTAAGTAAAATGATAATTATGGTAAAAATGATAATAATGTTTAGGATGATGATAATCATTATTATCATATCAATATCATTATTCTTATTACTATTACTACTACTGTTATTACTATTATTATCAGTAGTAGTAGTAGTAGTATCATAATGGTTATTATCATTATCAGTATTCTTCTTCTTCTTCTTCTACTTATTATTATCATTATCACTGTTATTACTATTATTATTATCATCATCATCATCACCATCATCACCATCTTTATTACTTTTATCATTATCATATTTCTATTACAACTATCATTTTTTATTATCATTAGTATTGCTTATTATCATTATTATCGTCACCGTTATCATTATCATCATCATCATCAATCGTCATTTTTCTATATCATCATTCACATGACCGTTATTAGTATTAGCATAGGCGTAGGAGCCAGGGGGGTTGGGGGGGGGTTGCAGCTGGTTGAATTCGGGCAATTTTGGGCAGGGGCGTAGATAGGAAAATTCACAGAGGGGGGCGAGAAATGAAGACATCCCGACGAAAAATTGACACTAGTTCTCATTTTTTAAATTATTTTGAACATAACCTAAGGCCACTAGAACTAAACGAGACAGAAAACCATCGTTATTTTTGCCGACAAGTGCAGAAATTTTCCGACAAATTGGCAGTTTAGCCTTATAGGTGGGTTTTTCGACCCCCCTCCCCCCCCGACCCCCTCT